TTTGTGACTTCGCGGCAGCCACAGCAGCAGTAACAGCTGCTTGGAACATGACAGGATCGAATTGAGGAGGCGGTGGAGGTGGTGGAGTGTTGTTGTTCCTTCGGGTAGATCTTCTTCGGGGAGGCATCTTGTTCTAAAAACAATCAGGAAGAAGAGGATGGTAAGTCTTCTGGAATCGAATCAAGAGATATGAAGCAAGGATATATCTCATAATGATTGATAGAGTGTTCTACTAAGCGATGGATTAGGGAAAAGTTACTAAAGCAAGTAAACTATTGCTAAGGAAGGAATGAGTGGCAACACTCTGAAAGAATTCCTACAATGTTTTCGGTTTGGACTAAAATACTCCTATAGTATTTTATGTTGACTGGATATTAGGTAAGTTTTAGGCCTGCTGCACACCACAGTCACTCCCAAGCACATGTTGGCCGTGTCTCGAATGAATATAGTTGATCCGGCTATATTGACCCTAGACACGACTACATAACTGCCCCGGTTTAACCACAATGCACAACACCCAATTACTTATGTTTTGTTCTACTCAGGGTTACGGTTTCTGGTGTTTAGGTAATCTTGTATACTTGGAGTAAAATACTTATATTTTTAAAGTATACTTTTAGTTCAGAGCACTTCGGCCCCTTAGTCTTTATAGTTGTATACCATATAAGGTTCGGTATACTTAGTTCACTATAAACAAGGGCTCTGATACCAATCTGTCACACACCGAAACCGAAGGCGGAAACGTTCCGGGGCGGAGTGACGTCATGTAAAGTATCACAAAAGTAAACACAACCATTACATTACATAGGAAAATTTACATTCGTTTGAAAACAGAGTAATACATGTTTTATGTAAATACATTAGTACGAACAAAAGTAAAGACGAGACTTCTATATGCTCCGTCTTCTCCAAAAGGTTGGCAGGAGTACCTCTCTAACGAGGACCTGAGAATACAAGCAGTTTTAAAATATCAGCATAAAGCTGGTGAGTTCATAAGCATGTTTTGTAAGGAAAACCGGTTATTTAATCTCGTGATAAATACTTTATTTCCTTTAATAACGATTGTTGTAGTTTCGAAAACCATTGTTACTAAGTTATGAATTACATAAGCATGTTTTCCCAGAAAATCCCATATTTTCTAACATGTAAGTTGTTTGTCGTTTTCCATAAGATAAGAAAAACCCCGGTTATCATCATTAGGATAAGAAAACCATAAGTTATGATTCCTGGATTACCCTCCAGTACGAAAGTAGGTAGTTTTATTACATAAAACTATTGGTTAAGATCCCTGGAATACCCTCCAGTACGAAAGTAGGTAGTTTTATTACATAAATAAAACTATAGAAGAAAGAAAGAAAGAAATCTGTGACCAAAGTTAGTTTGTTTAATACGTATTGTGAGTCGTATAACCAAACTGATTTGACCCGTGACCTCCTTGACGTTCTTCAGGCGTCGATCGATATCCAAAATTTGTCACCTCAGGCGTGCCCGCCTAACTGTAGCTAACAGTTAAGGTGTGGGATTGTCAGTCCCGAATAGATCTATTCACAAATTTCACGTTCTCCCTCCAGGAGACTCTGGTTATACTTCCGGAGAGGATTTCCTGGTACCCCGAAGGGTATGACGAAGACAAGTCTCACAAGCTAGTATTAACTAATTCACGGATAATTGGTCGTTATCGAGTTACGAAATCGTTTGGAACAAAGTAGAGTATAAATAATTAAATACAAGGAAATTATTTAGCATAATACTCTACATTAAACATGGATCAACTAAATTAGACATAGTTTATATATTGACTTTGCATGAATTCTGAATCCATAAAACATGTAATAAAGATCCCAAATTATTCCCATAATAATTTGAATGATTTGATAAGCTCCCACGCTGTTTTGAAAACTATGTAATTATATTCAGAAAACGTCCCTTATACTCTTCATATTACAAAAGGGATACAATATCTAAAGTTGTCAGAAAATCGTATAATTACATCAGTTTTTAAGTTACGAAAACCTTTATGATTTGCTTGTATTCCCCCCCTGAAAAACATGAAAAACTCGAAAAAGTGTAGGGGTATGAACTCACCAGACGAGGAATGTGCCAGTTAGGATGCTAAGTGTCAGTTTAGGGCTTGAACACGCGCGAGGTTCCTACATAATATGAAGAGATACATAATTGTATCCAATTAGGCTTAGAACTACTAATTAATTAAGAATGTACATTCCGAGGCGCGAAAACACTTCATTTTAAGTGCTAGGAGTGACCCGGGTAACATCTAAGGAGGTGTATGGTCTAGATATGGAGTATGCTCTTCAAGAGTAAACTCCTAATGAAGATTATGGCCCTAAGACCATACCCCCATGAGTTTACGGCTGTAAACTCATGGGTGGGGTGTTCTTGGATGCTTAAAGGTCTTACAACACTTGAGGGATGATGCTAGGTCTAGTTCTAAGGCATTGGAAGGGGATTTGATCAACATATGGACCACTTAAGGAGTTTACGGCTGTAAACAAGGAGTTTATGGCCGTAAACTCTCATGTACCCATTCCTCATGTGATTTGGTGATCCTAGGTTAAGTATAAGTGTTTCTAGTCCAAAGTACAAGCCATGGAAGGAAATTAGGGCACCATTTGACCACTTTATAGGAGTTTACGGCCCAGGAACCATTCCTTGGGGGGTTTGCGGCCGTAATCTCCTAAGGAGATGGTTTCTTTCATGTTTAAGGTCCCTAACACAAAGGTGGATGATTCTAGACATTATTCCAAGGCTTAGGAGGTGTTTAAGGGGCATTTTAACACCTAAAATGGTGTTTACGGTCTATGAAGGAGAGTTCACGGTCCAAGAATGTTCTTGGGCCGTAAACTCATGTTTACTCCCCAATTGATAAGATTTTGGTGTTCTAAGTCCATTCATGAAAGCCCCTAAGTCATATCTAAGCTCCAGAAGTGGTTTGGAAGGGTTTTGGGGCTCCAAAACCCCATTTATGGGTGTTTGCGGCCTTGGAGTGTTCTAGGGCCATAAACACATGTTCTTGGTCCTTTTGAGTGATTTAAACACGAATTTGAAAGCTAAAGATGATACATTATGAGCTAGGATGGATTTCTTACCAAATTGGAGCTTGAAATGGGGTGATTTGGATCAAAATCCGAGTTTGAGGAGAGAGGGTAGAGAGAGGGACTTCCAAGAGTGGTAAAAAGAGTGAAATGGAGAGCCACTCATCCCTTATATAGGGTGAGTTTACTGCCCAAGAGTTTACCGCCCGGAGTTTACCGCCCGAGTTTACCGCCCGGAGTTTACCGCCCGAGTTTACCGCCCGAGTTTACCGCCCGGAGTTTACCGCCCGAGTTTATGGCATGATTTTTGATGTTAGGATTTTTGGTGGCGGTTTTCTAACACTTGATCCTTAAGTGTAGTCGGCTCGAAATACTAATACGGACATTAATTTGGGCTAAAAGATGGTCGAAATGAATTTTTATTTTTAAATGCGGTAATAGATTTCGGAAATTACAAACACGAGATATTCGGGTTGTCACACAATTTTAAACCTACCCACGCAGTATTTTCAAAAGAAGCCCTTTGACACTTATCAACAAGTGTTCGATTGTAATTTACGGGAACATATACAAACAGTTGATCATCTCTCTTGATGATTAACGAAGTAACCTTTGCCCGGTGTTTAACTGCCTTCGTGTCAAAATTGAAAATTTGACATCACAAAATCTAAAAAGTTTTAATTTTTTTGTTTCTTGTCTAACTTTATTTGGAGCATTGCACACACGAAATCCTTGAGGTTCTGAGTAAAACCAACTCAAGCTGATGATTTCGCACATCTGGCATATGACTTCGCTTTTTAATCCCAAAAGTGAAAGAGCCTTGCTTCCATCCGAAGGGTTCTGACGGTTACAATTCTCTTGGGAGATAATGACAGGCTATTTCACAAATGATGTATGATATTATACCCGGTGTTCAAGGTGATGTGACAGACCCTTTTTGACGCATGGCTACTTTTCCGCAGTAATGGTCCGACTTTCAAGGTGCCACGTCGGATGTCATTAATTACATCCCGCTTCAAATTCAAAATTCATCGTTACATATAAAAGGGGGTTCAAGAGTTCATTATACGTTTACACAATCAAAGCAACAAATACCCAAATTTATCTGTTCATCATCATCTTCAAACCCTAACAATAGCGACTATTTCTCATGTCGATCCTTCTACTGAAGATATTTCCTCTGCACCAGTGATGAAGATTCAATCCACAAACTACTATGTGGATGGAGACGTTTCACAATATCCGGAGGAATTGAAGATGCTCATAGTTGCTTTAAAGCATTCTGTGTTGGCCACCGCCATGTTCAATTCATTCTCCGTTCCATTATCCTGGATTTCTCAAGCAGGATCAACTGCAACTTACAACAAAGCTTCAGATACCATCACTTTTCATCTTGTGAATGACAAAAATGTTAGGTTATCCAAGAAAATTTTCTGTAAGATTCTTGCCATTCCGAATTCACCTCCTTTTGTTGAGTTCACATTCCCACAAATTGTCCACACGTTTAATGAAATGGGTTATCTGCCCCCATTGTCAAAAATCAGTGATTTTAAGAAGTCAGGACTTCCAAGACTATGGAATTTTTTGTTTGGGATCTTTCTAAGATGTTTGACTGGACTAACTGTTGGGTTATACAAAGGAAGGATGGAGGTGTATGCAATGTTTGTAGGCATATACTACGATCTTGAAGCAGACTATTCTACCCAGCTATGGAAGGAATTCCAAAAAGGTGTAGAACATACGAATGTTGTTCATGGCATTTCGTGTGCTAGATACTGGAGCCTTATCTTACAGTATTTTTATAATAAGGAAGGCATTTTAGTACCAAATGACGAAGAGAAGGTTAATTTTCAATCTTATAATTATCCAAAGTAGGTTGTTGATGATGCTGCTACATTCCCAAACGTTGCTCGGATTCCAGACGCGATGCTTAAAAGGGTGGATCCTATGAATCCGGTTTTGGTAGCATATCTGAAAACATTCGATTCTTCTATTCCGACTGGGATCTTGTTACCTAGAGAAGAGAAGAAGACCAAAAAGTCGAAGAAAGCTGATCCTGCTTCCTCTGAACAGAAAACGAAGGATTCAAAATCCTCTAAGTCTCCAAAGAAGAAAATTATTGTTGTTGAAGTGACGGTGGATGAGACTCCGGTGATTGAGCCAATAGTCGAAGAAACTCAAGAAAATGTGATTATTCCTTCGAAAACTAGGATTTTTCGAAGAATCAAGATGAAGGCATCCCACAAACGCAAGTCTCCAACTCAGGAAATGCTTCGCAAACCTCAAATCACTCATAAAGGAGTGTTAATCCGTGATGTACCCGCATCTGTCTCTCCGGTGTCAAAGAAATGAATAGCTGCGGATATGGCCAAGAGGTTGTCAAAGAAGAAGCAAAAGACTCGAAAGTTTGTGCTTTCTACTGAGTCTACTGAAGAAGATGAAGAAATGATTCCTGAGACTCCAGTGTTCACTACTCCTGAGAAGACTGTTGTCATACCACCCGAAGTTTCGATGACTAAATCAATTCTTGAGGAGGTTCGAACTTCAGGCATCCCTGCACACGTATCTGATACGGATGCAAATGTCCACATGGGTGAAGGAGGTTCGAAAAATGAAGATCAAGGTCTTGCTATCTCTACTCCTTTCGAAACAATTGTTTCTGTTATTCCATAATCTACTATTCCCATCACATCTACCACAGATTCACCTACCTTCAAACATATTATCAATCAACCAATCACTTCCATATTATCAATCAACCAATCACTTCCATATTCTCTTCTCAATCCACTGATACACCAAAACCACCTTCACCTATTCACGAAAACATTGAAATAGAGACAGAAACAGATAATGAAGGTTTTGGGGGCACATTCGAAGAGTTGGAGTTTCATGATGAAGAAGAAGAATTTCCTGATCATATGCTGATGACTATGAAGCAGTATAATATTCTTAACCAGAAATTAAACTCCATCATTCAATCTCAAGCTGATCTTGGAGGTGGTTCTTCTGTTTCAAGTCCAGAGGTTGATTCCATGCTGAAGTTGTTTGAATCTAGAATTATTAACAAAGTTTCAGGCATGTTGAAAGCTTCAGAGTCTGTTATTTTGGAGAAGGTGGATTACACAGATCAGACTAATGAGCTTCGCGTTAAAACTCAAAGATCTGATTTTTATGGGAGAAGTTAAGAATCTGAAAAGCATAACAAAAGAACGTCATGTTCTTTTTGTTCAGGAAGTAAAGAAGGTGAGGGAGGATGTCAACTTACAGATTCACGAACTTCGTGAAGATATGAAGAAGGAAATACTTTCTGTTCAACATGATTATGCGTCCTTGAATCAGAAAGTCGACATTATTTGTGATGCAGTCACTCGTTTTGTCAAGCTATATATGTTAGATATAGTGTCTAAGTCCACAACTTTATTTGGTATGTACTTGACCCGACCCGGCATGGGCCATTTGGGTTGCATGGCATTGCAATACTTGGATAGACTAGATGAGAGAATAAGGCACTTATGATTATTAATATATTATAAGTTCTAATATATTAATAATAGTATTATTTAATTAGTATTGATCAAGTATTAATCTAGTATTAATTTGGTGATCAAAGTGAGACTAATTAAATATATAGGGTTGATTATGACGATCATCAATTCTTTTATGGTGGATTAATGATCCATGGTTTATGGGTTTGGTTATAACCATATGGAGCTCCATGGATAGTTCATGGGAGTTACAAACCCATGGGTCATGAGAAATGAAGAGTCATGACAATTAGGGTTTACATTTGTAACTCCTAATTATGACACACTATAAAAGAAACCCTATAGCATGCAAAATGGGCACTAGATTGTTTCTAGAGAGGGCATAACCGATTTTCAAGTGTAAGAAGTATTCTCTCAAGTTATTCCAAGTTTTGTGGTGTTGTGTGAAGCATTTGAGGCACAACATTTGGGGTGCTAGGCTCACAAAGTCTTGAAGGAATCCAAGCAACAACAAGGTATGTATTTCTACTAGCTTTTATGTATTATGTATTCCCCATGCCATGCTAGTTAGGAAATAACCTTGAAATAGAAATTTGCATGTATATAGAGAAAACATAGATTCAAGGTTATTAGGGTTGCATGTACACTTAGGAAGTGTTAGAATGCTCAAAATCCCATCAATATGAAGGTTTGAGTCCTAAAATAACTCAAATCTCAACATCCGAAACTGCAAGTTTTGAGGAAGTGATAAAGCTGCTCAAGGAGTTAAAGGAGATTTCAACAAAGCCAGTTTCGTCTCCACTGATCACTCCAGAATTTTTATCCCAAAAGTTTGTTCAATTCGAAGCCATTCTCAACAAACAGCTTGCACCGCTCTTTCGCATAACAAGTCTTCTTCCCACAACAACTGCCCCTCCTATTTTCACAGGGGTGCAAGGGGGATAAAGGAAGTCAGCAGAAGAAGAAGCGAAAGTGGTGGGAAAAATATTCTTCGAACATTCCTTTAACAAAACCGGTGATAGTATCTGCTGAACCAGTGACCTCAACTATCATAACAACAATGCCAACTACAAGAATAATTTCGAAAGGAATTGTAATTGGTAAACCTTTGGAAACTAGTGTGAGTGGTTCGAAGCCAAAAGAGATATCTGAAAAACATGATTCGAAAGACAAAGGAAAATTAATCCTTGTGGAAAAATCAAAAGATGAGAAGAAGGCTGAAGTTGAGGCTGAACTGGAGAAAATGAGGCTAATTCAAAGCATTATGTCTTAGAGGGCTAGTGATCCGAAGGGGATGGATAAAGGTGATCCGACAAAACACTATAACTACGAGACAATCGAAGCCAAGGTTGCTTTCAATCATATGTACACATTCGAAAAGAAGCCAAAGCAGAGTTATGTGATCACGAACACTAATATTTGCCAGTTGGATTTCCCTATAAACGAAATGATGTTTATCATGCCACAGTTTAAAGCTGAAGGGAATTTCAAAGAAAAAGATGAAGGTACACACATGAAAATTCGTTTTCATGTTGTACTTGGAAAAGCCCCTGAGGAGGTATGGTCACTGATCAAAATCAAGAAGGTGATCAGTATGAAAAATGATGTGGTTTTCGAAAACACAGTCCAAAACATTAAGTATGTTGTGTCCAGGGCAAATGGGAAATTATGCGAATTCACAATTGCAGACTTTCCATTGATGAACTTGTATGATCTCATACAAGTTGCATTGCTTTTGAAAGACAAATCTTTTTCTTATCTTCAAAACACAGAACCGGAAGAATTCATGCTTGGAGTTGCTCACATCAAAATCTTTATTGAAAACTACTATGAGTGCTTGGCACTTACTGATGTGGAGTTGGCTACTGCCAAGGGAATGGAGATAAAAGTCCCAATGGCTCCTTCGAAGACTCAGGCTGAATTAAAGAAATATGCTGATGGAGAAATTTGTTTAAATCCTTTTGGACTAGTCTTCGCTGGAAAAGACAAAGCTGGAAAAGCAAAGAGATTTTTGTTCCAGGCAAGCGAAGTGGAGAGGTACTCTATGTCTCAATATACGAACTTGATTGTTCGTATGAACCACTGCAAGAAGAACAATGAAGGAGACAAGAAGGAGTTGAAGAAAATTATTTCTTGGTACACAGAGGTTCGAAGAGTTTTGCTGTACTCCAACACACTTCTTACAAACTGAAGACTTCGACTTTGATTACAAAGGGGGAGATTGTAAGGGTCGAAGTGTTGTAATGAGTCGAAGTTTGTGTTGGTGTCTTCGAACATTCTTGTAATCTATTTTACTAAGGCATTATATTCGAAACTTAGTGTTTAGTCCTTAGTGTATTTTTTGTATGCTTTTCTCTCCTACAAATAGGAGTGTTTACTAGAGTCAATGTAACGAAGTCTTTACAGAATATTCATTTGTACTCTGTAAAACTTGAAAGCGTAATAGAGCCAAACAGATCATATTTACATTCTGTATTCAAACCTAGTACTCATACTTTGAATTCATACTCTGATTAAATCAATACTCGACTCATTGATTCATCACTAACATACTTGACTGAATTTGGGGAGACAGTCCCCAAATATACCTCTCAATTTTCTTGCTCTCAGGAGAAACCATATCCGGGCACAAAATTGCCAGATCATAGAATCTACTCGTATAGGCTGATATATCAGTACCAACCATTCTAAGATTCCAGAGTTCCTGCTCGAGTTTTTGAATTTCTCCTCGTGGACAGTACTCTCTCATCAGCATGATTTTTAAGTTCTCCCAGCTTATCGAATTTGCCACAATTAGAGTCAGTGCCTTAACGTGGCCATTCCACCATGTTAAAGCTCTTTCTGAAAAGGTACAAGTAGCAAACTTGACCTTGTTGTTCTCTAGGCAGGCGCAGATCTCAAAGACTGCTTCTGTCTTTTCTATCCATTGTCTTAAAATCATAACCCCTCCAGTTCCATTAAAATTCAGGGGTTTGGCGTTCGTAAAATCTTTATAGGTGCACTCTCGTGGGTGCCGATGACTCTCGTCGTGGTTCGAAGGAAATACCCCAATCCCCGAGCCAGTAGCGCCAGAAGTATTGATATGTGTCATGGCAGCCGCTACAGCCGCCGTGATTGCTGCTTGGAACATAGCAGCATCGAACTGAGGAGGTGGCGGAGGTGGTGGTGGTATCGGTGTTTCAGTACCATTGTTACGCCTTGGATTTCTTCTCGGAGGCATCTTTCAACTATAAGCTGAAAATAATCGGAAAATGATAAGAATCCAATAGTACTGAAAATGAATGTGTCCTATGAACTAAATCGACATAGTTCAACAACAAGAGATAATATGAATGGTATTGGGTTCTAATGATAGAAGGATGCAAGTATTTGGGCAAGGATTTTCGGGAACCAATCCAACTGTCAAAATCATTGATATTCAAGATGTAATTATAAAGACTTTAGGCCTACCACAGAAGGTGAGTAGCGTATTCACCAACTCACTAGGTCGTATTGGGCTCTTAATTATTAACGTGACGCGCATGGTTTTCTGCCACTTCGCATGACTCGCGAGTGGTATCCTCTGTTCTCTTTCCTATTCCCGACGAAAGCAATCCGATGTCTATTTCAGGTTCGAAGTCAGAACCATCTGCAAAGCCTTCAGCTTTGGGATTCATCCATATGGATTGGGCGATCATTCTCTGGCTCCTCTCCGAGCCATCCAGCATTGCCGTGGTTAGGGAAGTACGGGTCGCCGCGGGGATGGAATCCAGCCATGATATTTATGCGAGAAAAGTGATATAAGAAATAACTAAATAGACGTACTAATTAGATAATTATAAGATGATCTTTATCATTTACTCCAATACTTGTTTAGTGCATACT